ATATATATATATATATATATATATATATATATATATATATATATATATATATATATATATATATATATATATATATATATATATATATATATATATATATATATATATATATATAAATATAGATATAAATATAGATATAAACAAATATATCACCTCAATTCACTCCTCCCTTTCAAACAGCCATGTTGAGCTTGTTGATACTGGTCGATATTAGAACTCCTATCTACACGCAGAGTCTATCACCACATCTCCACTCACACTCCACCCAAACACCTCCCCTGCATACATACAGTGTACGCACACTACATACCTATGCGCTGCATGCACTGTAGATACGTAGCGATGACTCACCTCGCCCACTCCTTTGTTCGACACAGTTGCCCGAATTAAAATCTCAAAGCCACGACTCAGACACTCAGTCTACCCCGCGAAGACGTCAAATGAACTTCATTAGCCCAGCCTTAACTATGCGTATGTGCTGCACTCTCGTGTTGGTTTAAACCATAAAAACCATAAAACCCTACTGTGCTCTTGTGTTGTTTTAAATCCTCAAGGGCGGCTGATTGCGCGATGCATCTGAAATACCCGAGAGCAACTCCGACATTCCTCACCTGCTCCTAAATGCCACAACAGCTCCGACATACCTCATTTTCCGCCAGAGGTCGGCCACTTATTGAGAGCTATATCCATCTCACCCCAAACTCGCTTTCTTTTTTTGGCCCGGACTGGGATAGTGCTTTATTTCGTATTGTGTTACTAACTCGTGCTAGCTGAAACGCCTGCGTGTATCCAACGACCCTCCGGTGTTGGCCCGAGTGCTTTCTTACCTGAACCTATGGGCTGTTTAACGTACGATTGCTCATATTTTAGGTCGAGGTGCCAGCCCCGGCAAAAAGGAGATGGATTCGGGTGCGAGCACTCGAAAGAGTACTCTGGACTCCAACAATTCGAAATCAGAAAATGCCATAGATAGTGACGTACCTGGGGAGGAGCAAGGTGAGCTGGACCTGTCCTCTGCTCTGGGTGTGTACGAACTGAACCAACAAAACATTCAACGGCAGCTCTCAGAGGCTAGCACCAAACGATTGGCCGAGAAACGGAATAGGTGGGCTGGTTTGTACGCAACTACC